ACTCTTTCCTGCTTATGCAGGGGGTCGGACTCGATGATCTATTGAGGTCCCTTCCGACCCTAACATCTATGAATCTATGAATCTACACTGCCATTACTCCAGCCCCTTCACTGGAGCTGTGGGACCTTACTCCCCTTTGGGCCTCAGGAGTCTGTCGACCTATCTGGGCCCCCAACTCAGCCTATGGTTTACTCAGGCCTCAGGTGTCTGTCGATGTGCCTGGACCCTGCCTCAGGCCCCACTCAACAGGCCTGGGTCCCGCCTCAGGCCCCACTCAATGGGCCCCTGTGCTTTTCCGTCGGGGTGTGCTCCCCTAGTCTTTCCCCTCCACAGGGTCACCCTCCAGGCAGTGGGGGCTGAGGCTTTCTGGTGCCCCATACTTGCCCTTCACTGGAGAGGCACAGGTGTGGCATTTCCTGGAGACCACCCGGTCACAGGCAGCCCCCACCACACGATCCAGCCCCAGCAGGTTTCAGTTTTAGGTCATGCCCCAGGACCAGGAACCTCCTGCATCCCCATAGCTCCTGCCCTTAACAAAACCTATCAGGAATTTGAATGATATGGGTGGAAGAGTGGCAGTTGGCATTGTTTTGAGGGAAGTGTTGGACTGGGAGTAAGGGAACTGCTTCTTGTTTGGTTCCTTCTGTAGTTAAAACTTTCCCTGGCATAGGGATAGAGGAAGGATTTTAGTTCTAAATCTGGCAGTTTTCACAGGGATTACATTAATTTAAGTTCTGCCTTCCCCCACCTTGCCTGTCCCTTGAAGTGTTAACTGTAGGGCTGTCCCATTTTCATCATGCTTGCTTGAAAATGATCTCTTGAATTTGGCCATGACCTTGGTACAGCCATTTACGTCGCAGACTTGTCCTAGCCACAAGACAGGTTTAGTGGTTGGAAGGTGGTTCTGAGGCGCGTGTAATTATTTTTAGATACCTTGTCAGCCCTAGATAATGGATGTCAGTCATTTAGTAATGTGAATACTGTCTCACTTTGAAGATTTGATCCTTCCCTGCAGCTTCTTTGGTATATAAAGATTGGCAACCTGTAGCTCTGCATTGTTCTTACCCAACTGACTTTAGTGCCTGAATACACTGTGCACTCTGTTTTCAGAAACTCCTCCAGATGCCCTTATCCTGGAATCGCCATTTACTAACATACGTGAGGAAGCAAAAAGCCATCCATTTTCAGTGGCAAGTACAGCTTTCTGTCTTTATTATCTTCTAATTTTATTTATGAAAATAATCATTTAGAAATTCTTCCTGAACAGTTCTAGGACATGCCTGAGTTAGATCTGTAAACCTTGCAAACGGTGTCAGAGTTTGTGGAGCTGTTTTTCGTTATAATGATCAGCACTAATGCTTTCCTCTACAAAGGGCTGCGTGTACATCAAAGGTTTTCATTTTTGAACATGAAAACATCTGCAAAGGCCTACATGGCGCTAATATACCTTAATGTACAGTACAGTTATAAGTAAAACCACACTGAGATGATAATAATGGAAAAGAAAAACCAGGGAGGAAAAGCAGTAAGCACAAAGAAAGAAGGGCTGAGTTGGTTCTTTCAGCAGGGAGTGTGTTAGGCCTTACCACTACCATGGCATGATTCTCTGCTTACATAAGACATGCACAGCTGACCTGCTTAGTGAGGAGGTTGAGAGAACATGTCCCAGTCAGAGGAGGCTCAAGAGACTGACAATGCAGCTGGGGCACCCCTCTGTCTGTCCTTTGAAAACAGGGTTGTTTCCTAGCCTGCCACATCATAAACAGCAGGTGTATTGTGTAGGAGCTGAAAGTGACAGAGGAGCTGTACCAGGATGTGATTAAATGAATGACTGCTTCCCTAGCAGAGACATGACAGATGAATGAGCCTTCTTAGGATCACAGCCTAGTCCTTGCCACCTGGATTCTGTCTCCCCAGGGCTGAGGATGATGAAGTTTCTCTGACACATTCAGTTTGACCCAGCAGAGATGCCTGACACTTTTTTGAAACAAGCAAACCTGCAGGCCAGGTCAGGTGGCTCAGCCCCACAGGGGCTCTCCTCATGACAGCTGGCACATGCTGACACCTGAGCTAGCTCTGGAATTACCCTGCTTCTCAGCAGGGCTGTGTATATTGGGCCAGGCATAACACCACACAAATGCTATTGTACTGCTTTTGGTGCCTGCGCTAGTCCTCTCAGCCACCTTGGGTATCTTTGCATTGTACTGCATTGTGCTGTGTAGACACCCTCCATGACAAAGGCTTCCACCAAGCATACATGTGAGCCAGAAGCATGTTGATATCCAAGAGAACTCAAGCAGCAGTGCTGACACTTAAGTTGGAGAATGAACAATGAAAGCATTCAGAGAACCTGTGCACTAACACAGCAGCACAATTTGAGTCTACTGCAGAGGAACAGCACATGAAAAATCAGATGGACAGTGGTAACAGTTGGGATGTGTTACATCTGTGGAACCAGTGTATTCTTTCTGTACCATTCAATCTATCTGAATTCCAGGTGGGAACATCCCTTGTCTTGCTAATAAGTGGACATATCTATTACCACAGAGTTAAGTAGGGCTGGAAGGGATCTCAAGAGGTCATTAAGGGAGACTTTATTTTTTTCAGATATACAGATACTTCCCTGGGTTTGACTGGTTCTTCCTCGACACCATCACGATGAGTGGAATTAAATTTGCAAATGATGAGAAGTAAGTAATGAATCTCTGCTGAATCTTCATTTTTCTACCTGCAGTGATTGGAGCTGGGAGGCCTTTTGATGACATGTTCATAAAGGAGACTGAATAAAGCTGGCATCAAGTGGGAATGTACACAGAAGTGCAATTGGTCCTCTTTTTTGCTGAAGTATTTGATACTTGTGAAGGGGCTTTGCAGAGTCTTGCTTGGCCTTGTGTGTGCCATAGCTTCCAAAAATTTGGCTTGGTAGCTGTCAGGAAACCCCAGCACATGACAGGTGATATCATTTCTCTTAGTTGTTCCATGTTTTAAAATCCTAGGTGGGTGTTGACCCACAGGTCCTTATCTGAACAGGAAATAACTCATCTGACCAGCTAGTTAAAGACACTTGAAGCATAGGTGTGTGAGAAACTAAACAGGTGTATCTAGTGTAACATCTCTATTCTTCAAGGTGTTAAACAGCTGGGAAGACTTATTGACACAATTATTAACATAATTCATACTGTAGTTAATAAGTTTTCACACCTCTAAGCCTTCCATTTATGGATTGCGGAACACTTTGCAGGCATTAGTGAAGTAAGCTTCCCCCATTTCAGTGAGACTGACACAAAGAAGTTAAATGTCTGGCTCAAGGTCATGCAAGAAATCTGTGGCAGGTCCCTGGATAGAATCCTGGTCTCATAAATCCTCGTGCTTTGCCTGACTCATTAAGCTGTTCTGTCTCTGTCTGTAATAAGAACATTTCCTGTATGTTCATTCTCTTAACCAAAAATGTGCCCTATTTCAATTTCACTTTGGGTAATGAGCGCCTCTGCTCACCAGCGTAATCAGCAAAAAAGATTCTCCAATGGTTACATTAACTAATTATTTTTGTGTATAGATCACATTAACTGGCATTATCACAATCTGAAATGCAGTTAATAAGTGGTGGGAATTGTTTCTAGTGAGTATATCCCTGAAAATCCCACATAATACAATTATAAAACTTGGCCATACATCTCACAAGCATCAGTTGCTTCCCTAGAAATGCTTTTTAAATTAGCATGTAGTAGAACAGAGCTTTGTCCAATTAATATATGACAGGCACATTCTTTACAGTACTATTATTCCACATCCTATTTTTAAACTCTATAATAATTTATTGCACTCCATTTCCTTTCTTGATTTTGTCTGATATAATGAATAAGTGACTCTTATCCATCATGAGATGCCTTTTAAGTGGGCTTGAGAGGGAGGACCTATGAAGCAAAAGTGACTGACAAACACTCTGGCTCCATTTTCACTCAGAAGGTGCATGTGTGTATTTAGCGAAGCCAACAGACTCGCAGTGATTGTGGCTTCATTCAATGGAGCCAAGATTGTTTTTGAAGGGCCAGGAGAGCAGCCTCTTGATTATTTCTCAGTTTAAGAAGCTGCAACAGAGAACAGCTCCTCTTCAGACAGATAAAATAGACAGGCATGACCAGCATTCAGATAGCATTGGCTGTTTTATCAAAAATACAACCAGAACTCTTAGCTCTGTTACAGTTTATAAACTTCACTAGGATTAAAAATAATTACATTGTCTTTTAATTCTTTTTACAGTGTAAAATACATTTCCTGTTCACTGCTCATCCTCCATGCTGAAGATGACCCTGTTGTACCATTTCATCTTGGAAAGAAGGTAGATTTCTCCTGTTGAAACTGACCTGCTTTAAGTTGGCGGCTTGATGGAAGGGATTTTTTGGCTTAAACAGTGACCTAAATGGATTATACAGCTCTGTGCAGAAAAGTCAGCAATTTGATATGAAGAGCTGGTTGTTTTAATAATGCACCTTATAAACTAATCAAAGTAGATACTGAATATATACTCTGTGTGTGTGTGTGTGTGTGTGTGTGTGTGTGTGTGTGTGTGTGTGTCCCTCACACACACACACACACACACACACACACACACAATATATATATATACTGTATATATACACACCAGTGTATACAATATCTTCAGCCTGTGAAAGCATGTGCACGCATGCATGCACACACACACACACACACGTTAATCTATAGGGTGCAAATCTACTCTGCCTTCTACTATACTTTAGACTAACATGGCTAACTACGTCTCTGTTATAATAACGGCAGAGGCGCATAACAGTTAGCAGCACTGAAGGTATTGGATGTCATTTAATAATATAATCGTATCTATATATTGAAAATCTTCCAAGCTGTGGTGCTGGCTAAGAAAAAGTGAAGAAGAGTTTATTAGGCTTGAAAAATAATGGGGAAAAATAAGGGGAAAATAGCATTGTTATACTTAAGCAGGAGGGGGAACAAGGGCAAGAAGGAATACAGATGGACAAAGCACCTTAGTTTCCTGAACAAGTGTTCAGATGCCCCTGTGAAATTTTTGTTAGTCAAGCCAGTCCAGGCAGAATTTATAGAAATACAAATGTAATGGCAACAGTTCTTTGTCAAGATATCAGTCTATTCATTAGAGATGAAACTTGATTTGTGGTTATAGTTAATCCCATTGTCCCACTGGTTTAAGTTTTTGCTGTCTGTGCATGTCCATTGTGATGCTTATTAGTTAATAGGATTTTTTGCTGGGAGATCTCTCTGCTTACATCATTCAGGGCTTTCTGCTGATCTTTTGAAAGCTCTTACATAATGGTTTACCTCTAGAAGCTGAGCTCTGATCTGCTGAGTGTAGAAATGGTCCTTCCAAGTGGAGTTTTTGGTAGAGGGAAAATGTTATTGCAGCATCTACTGCAAGATGAAGGGAGAGAATCCAGAGGAGTGAGCAAAAGGGAGGCTCTGAGTGGCACAAAGAGGCAGGAGGTAGCAAGAGATCATAAAGTATACAGCTGCATCCCTTGTGAACCTTCTCTCTCATCCCCCACCCCTCAACGGGAAGCTGCAGCAACACTTTTCCTCCACTAATATAAATTGTCATGTATACCGAATAAATGTAGAATCTGCTGGGGTGAAGCTGATTGCAGCAAGAAGCAGCTCTGCTTTCAGGCAACTAATGTTGCAGTGCATCTTCTATGAATGTGGTGGTGAATCCTTTACCTGTTTGATGCTTATAACTCTCTGTAGCTTTACAACTTGGCTGCGACATCACAGAGCTTCCGGGACTACAAAGTGCAGTTCATTCCCTTCCACACAGATCTAGGCTACCGGCACAAATACATCTACAGGAGTCCAGAGCTACCTCGAATACTGCGGTAATAATAATAAACAGGGGCACTCTGTCTGGCTTTGTTACTGGATCAGGGTTTCCACAGTGTGAGGAACCAACATGTTATCCTTTTTAGATGGAAGCTGCTGTATGTGTGGTGCAGCCGTAAAAAATGGGTTGCAGAAATTTTCATTCCTCTAGAAAAAGCCATTGGAACATGTGGTTAGTTTTTCTTCTTCCTCTCTTCCCCCATCCGCTGATTGTACCCGAATCAAAACACTGCATGCTTCTATACAAGACGCTTTACTGCACAGTAGACTAATCTACTGCATAGTAAAGCGTTACCATCTACACATGTGTGACATTTACTGCACAGTAAATTAGTCTATTGCACAGTTAGCTAGTACCTGTAAATACAGGTACTAGATTAACTGCATGCTAGTTACTGTGCAGTAGCTTTCATGTAGACACTGATGGGGAGCAAATTTGCTCCTGGTCAGTCACACTAGCAGGGGGCCACAGGGTACAGGGGAGTTCTCTGTCCCTGGTCCTAGCACTGCTCAGCTCCTGGCTTCCCACAGGAGCTGAGAGCTGATCAGCGCCAGGACAGGGTCGCTTTCTTCCCCCTCTCCCCCTCCCCCCCATGTGGCTCCCAGCTTCTCACAGGAGCTGGGAACCGAGCAGTGCCAGGACTAGGCAGCTCTCCGCTTCCCTGGTCAGCCGGGGGCTTGCCAGCAGCTGTCCTATTCGTGGGGCAGCTGCCAGTCAGCTACCTGCTGGGTGAGAGTTCCCTGCCCAGCAGGGGCTGGCTGGGACCTTTCCCACTTCTAGGGCTGCTACCAGCAAGCCCCTTGGCTGGGCGGGGAAGCCTCACTAGGCATGCATCAAACCATCAGCTGTGTTCCAAAGTGCATGGGGCTGTGCATGTCAGGACCCCTTGTGATGTGTACCAAGAGACAGCTACTGCTGCAGCCAGCAGAGCATTCCTGGTCCCATGTGTATTAGGACTGGGCCCTCTGCCAGCCCCCTTGGCTAGCACCCCAGGAGTGTCTGGAGCTCCCCCTGGCTGCTGCACAGGGCCAGAGCAGGGCAGGAGCAGCCCTGTACCAGGCTGCTCCAGTAGGGAGCAGATTTGCTCCCAACAGGGTCCTTGTGTAGTATTTTACTGCGCAGTAAGCCTATATTGCATTAGTAGCATATGTAGATGCACCCACTAAGTGGTAGAAATATTCCCAATAATACAAGGACTGACTTGGCACTCAGCAATCACGAAGTGATTTAGAACAATCCCTCAGAACCACAGCCCTCTCCCCAAAACATAGACAGATGTGTTGAGAACAGCTCTAGCTGAGCTGAGTGCTGTGTGCGCTTATAGCATCTGTTTTTCTGTTGCCCTAATCCTCCTTAAGCATGTTGGTAAAATTGAGTCCAAGCAGTCTGGTGACCTGCTACTGACCTTCAACAGGAGTTGTGACATGAGCCCAGTTTAGAACAAGGGTTCCACATCCCTACCCTAGTGCACAGCCCATTGGCCTAGCCTTGCTCTCAGGCCCCAGGAGAGCTTAAGTCAGTATTTCCAAACTTGCACCTACCTAGGTGTTGATCTTTGAGCCTCCGTTCAGGGTTTGTCTGCACAGCACGCTGCAGTGCTGTGCTCTGTGTTATAGCAGTGCTCTCTGCCCAAGGATAATACACCCTGCTTCGTAGCCAGGCTGATTTATGTAGGTGGAGAAGCACTTTTTCCAGAATCTGCTTCTAGTTCCCAAGCTCACTTGGCATCCTTGCACAGTGCTGCATTGTGTTCTGCACACATGCCTACTGGCTGATGTAAATAAGTCCCTCAGTTTCACAGCTTCTGAGCTCCTGTCGTGGCTAGTGATGTTAATGAGACTGCCAGCACCCAGTTAACTCATCTGTCTGGATTAATCTAGACACCCAGGTTCAAATCCCCTTGATCCAGCCACCTGCATTGGGGATCAAGGCTTTAATCTGTGCTTTCCCACACAGGTGGGGACCTTTCCCAGACAAAGAAGGATGCCTTCCCTTCCTTCAGCCTCCTGTACAGGAAACAGCTGGCTATAATATGGCTGCAGACAACCTGGGAATGGGAGGGGGAGCTAGCTAAATTGCTGAAACTTTGGCTGTGAGTGAAAAACTTCTATCACTATAGGAGCAGGCTAAGGTAGTACTAGATTTACTTGAATATCTAGGATGACCCCCAATAATTAGATTCTATATATGAAAAACTTAAAAACTTGTTATAATTTTCCAGGTATAGTATCTAATTATTGGAGATTTGCCTTGAAATTGTTCCCTTCCCACAGCTAGAGCAGGGAAAATAAATCTGGGAGGGTCAGGTAGCCCCTTGCACTCCCTTTCCCCTCACTCCCAACTTCTTTCAGCTGCAGCCTTTTTCCCACTTACTGTCAGACTCTGCTCTCCCTCAGTACATGGAAGTGAGAAACAAATTTGAAAACCCTAACTTAGAAATAAACATACCTGTAGTTACTTGTATATAGGGAAATTACCACAGGTACCCACAGACATAGTTCATCCAGAATTGATGCAGTTTACCTCTTGAAACTGCTGCAAGTTTTAGCACAGGTGCTCCATAAACACACTTTTAATTAGTGCTTTTGTACTTACTGCCTGCTTCTTCTACATGAGATGCTACTGTACAGTAGCACTGGGGGGGCACTAAGCATGATGCAACACTACTGTGCAGTAATAACAAGTTATTGCACAGTAGCTCATTGCTACTGTGCAGTAGCATCAGAAAAAAACATGCAGGGACACTACTGCACAGTAACGCTGCTTACTACGCAGTTATGCAAGTACTATATGACTGCGCAGTAACAACTACACAGTCTGCCACTTGTGTAGACACAGTCACTTACAGTTAGTACAAACTATGCATGGCATGAGTCCAAAGCTAAAAGGCTTATGGTTTACCATATACATTATTAGGCAGGGCCTCAGCAGAGACCACAGCATTTCAAGCCACAGTGACCCCATGGCTCAGCATGTGTGTGTACTCCAAATACCCGCCACAAATGATCCATGTTCCAATTAGCCCCTCACTCATGACTGGAACCAGGTGTTCTAGTCACAAGTCCTGGGATCCTCCAAATATTTATATGCAGATGAGGCTTAGAGCAACTTGGTTTAGCTTCACCTCATGTAGGGAAGGGCCACAGTAATACGTGGCAGCCTGTGAGGGGACAACAGAGATTCTGGGTAAGCTGTTTGAGCCCCGTTTGGTAATGTTTGCCAGACATTTAAAGCTGGTAAAGAAACAGGAATGATTGGAAATGGGAAAGAAAGGCACAGTTCAGATGTAGGAGTGAAGAGGAAAGCAAAATGTATGCAGTACAGTGGCTCACCATGACTTGAAAAAGAATCAGCGCTGAGGGAGACTGTATGCAATGGGCACTGTCATATATTTTCTTCAGATGATTTGCACTGACTTATCCTTGTGGTAGGCTCCCTTCAGCATTTTGGTCTTTTTGGCCAAGATTAAATGTAGCATTTTTGGCACCAAGGGAAGGGTGTCGGGGCTGGCCCTGGCTGTCTTGGTGCCAGCCTGGTATTGCTGTACCTACGGGCCTGGTGCCAGTTGCCTGTGGAGGGAACACCTGCCCATTTTTTTTAAGGGCCACGCACACAGAAAAAATAAAGGTTCCTATCAGCATGTTTGCCCAATTGCTGGTTACATTTAATTTAACAAAGTCCCTCCAGAGGTGGTGCAATGACCTACCCTGGAAATCTTCAAGAGGAGACTGGACAGTCACCTTGCTGGGGCCATCTGACCCCCAGTTGTCTTTCCTGCCTAGTGCAAGGGGGCTGGACCCCATGATCTTGCGAGGTCCCTTCCAGCCCCTTACAATCTATGAATCTATAATCAACTTCACAATTGTTTTTCATTACTGAGCACATGCTGCTTTTAGCATCAGTTTAATGATAGACAAGATATTTAATGAGGTTTCCTTGTATGCATATGTAAGGTGAGGGGCTTTTTTCCCCCATGTTGATGGGAGGGGACCTTGTCTTATATTTGAGTAAGTATGGTTAGTTACTATAACAGCTTATACTGCTATCATTTCATGCCAATGTAATGGTTATGTCTCCCTGCACCCACAGAGAAGCTGTGCATGCTACCAGCAGACACTACTACTTGAACTTGGACATTGGTTGCACCAGGGTGTGTGACCCACTGTGTTCCCTGGAACTGCAGACATCTGACCCTTCATAGTCTTGTGGTTAGACTGCATGTACCCTAAGATCCCTAGTATGACTGGGAGGTAGTTTGCAGTTCCAGTTGGACACTGCAGCCTAGCAGAGTTAGATCTGAGATTTCAAACGGTAGGGCTGTTGCCCTGTGTCCTGCTCTCTCTGTGGAAATGGTTGGGATATTTGTATCTGGGATGGTTTATCACTGCTGGCATCTTGTTTTCTTTTCCAGGGAATTCCTGGGGAAATCTGACCATGGGCATCGTCACTGAAGACTGGCTGCTTGGTAGCACTAAAGCTTTCTTTTCTTTTTTGGGGGTCAGTCTGCCTTTCTTTCACCCCCTATGGAATTCCTATGGTAGTCCTGATGCGTACCCTCGGAAACCCAGATTTCCAGCATCAGCATTTGAGAAGGTAGAGGAAAGAAGAGAAATTAGTTAGCTTCTGTGTTAACATGGACAGAAAACGAATCCCATGCAGCAGTACCAAACAGTTAAAACTTGAGCACAACAGAGACTTACCAATACAGCATAGCTAACCCATGTAGACATTCCTAGAAATCGTGCATCAGGACCAATGGCCTTTTTCAGTTTGTTTTTTGAACAGCAGTGGACTGAGATACCTACACAAGGGTGGCTGCCACCATCCCTCTATGCCACGCTTGTCTGGCTTGAGTTCCAGTGGTTTTCCTTTAGAAGAAGAAACACGTTTAGTACATTTTATTTTTCAAAGGTTATAATCAGAAAAATGCTGAGAATCCTGGGGAGAACTGGTATTTTATTGAAATCACTGTTAACTCTTAGAATTATAGAATCAGCATTGAAAAGGTGTCTGAATCATTGGTAGAAAAACCCAATTTTGAAAAAAAACCAAGAGCAAAGTCAGCTGTATTTCCTGGGAATCCTTAGATCCCTCCTGCTTCTTTTCTGCCTCCTGAGCCCTGCCTTTGGAACATCTCTTCTGCTCTTATGTGCTTAATGTCCCCCTCCTTCCTAGGCATCTCTCTGAAGAGCCCCAGTCCTGATATATCCTAGGCAGGTTTACTGCATGCTGTAGACTTTATTTTGCAGGCTTCTTGTTTGTCTGAGCTCCCCCCCTCTCTTAACAGTCCAGGTCGAGAACATGCCAGACTTTCTTAGTGGTGGTGGTGGTGGTGACATGTCTTCCATTCTCCTGTGACATACAGAGACACAAGCACTTTCTTGGGCAGGAGGCGGTGATTCAGGCTCCTGCATGTTTTCTCCTCAGACACTCATGCATTTTGTAGCTCTTCTTAGCAGGCACAAAGAGCGAGGTGGCCTTTCTAGCTCCTTTAGGCAGTGCAAATCATGCATAGCTAAAAGCAAGCAGCAGTATATGGTTAGCCAGGAAAACCACCTCTGATCCGTGTTTTCCCTCCCAGCCTTTATTTCCTAGCCTGGCACAATGTCTCTCTCAGTTGTCCTGCTGGCACACAGCAGATGTCATATATGTGTGTGGCTGTACACCACCTTGCCACTCCAGCCAGTGGAGCAATGGACTGGCACAGGGGGCTCTGGCTTCCCGGTGCCCTGCTTCACCATGTGGAGGTACCAGCATAGTGATTCCACTTCGGGCTGAGCAGCACAAGACACATGCTGCCTCAGCTCTGTGGCAAGAAGCTTGATGTCTCCTCCCTTCTGTTGCCCTCCCTAGCCTGCTGCACACACTGAGCTCAACAGGCAGCTTGTTTGCTCTTACCCTTGCTGCCCCCTTGAAGCCCCCCTCCCTTTTCCCCCCAGGTCCTCAACAGGATCCAAGCTCCTGCACTCCCACCCTGGAGCAGAGTGGCTTGGGGGACAATGCCATGTACTAAATTTTGGGCCCTGTACCTGGGAAGGGGCTTTGCAGGGCTCCCAGACTTGTTCAGACTCATTCAAACAACCTCATTCCATCAATTTACAATAGCGGGCTGAGTAGCTTTAGTTCCTAGTGTTCAGCAGTGAAATTTACAGCCTTAACACTAAAGGGGTCTGTTCACTAATGCAGTTGTGTACAGCATAACATAAACAGCCCAGCATGCATCCAAGTTATATCTACAGGCTCATAATTGTTACAAAGCAGACAGTAGCTTGTTCTTGTACTGCGACTTTCTGCTGTAGCGTGGTTATACTAAGATTTTTGCCCCATAATACTTAGGAGCTAACTGTACCACTTACAGTTTGTTTGATAATACACTTCTATTTATTGCACTGATAGAACAGGACACTGTTTGGCTCCTTGTAAAACCAACTGTACATTCCGTCTAATGCTGCTGCTGTCATCTGACTTATGTTAAATTACAGACTTAAACAGAAATGTTGACTTTTCCCATGTGACAGAGATTAGATTCCAAAGCATGAACCAGTGTTGTTGTTTATTTCAACACCTACGTTCCAGTTATTAGGCCAGTAATGTACTTTGAAATTTAAATTAAAATGTCTATCTAAAAGTGTGTAGTTTTATTAAAATGATTGACTTCTGATCACTCCAGTTTGACCTGCCTGTCTTTCTTTTTTTTTGTCTTTTAAATCTCTGAAGACAGTGGCGAAGCATGAGCCAGAAGTAAAATTTGATAGCCTGGGACCAACCAAGGGCCAGTTTCAAAGCAACATACATAGACATCACAGCACTCCTGAGCTTTGTCTGCATCCCATTTTGCTGCTTGACCTCTGATGATACATGATGCTTTGGTCAGTCTAACGAGAAGCAGCCATGGGGGGAGGCTTTGTCATGGTATCTCAGTGTGTGTACAGGGGTGGGGGGTACACAGCCTGTGTGGAAGGGAAGGATCCTGAAAACTTCTTTGCTACTGTAAGGACCTCATCCCATGGGACGCTCAGTACATTGATTTACTTAGGCCCTATTGAGCATGGCTGTGCTGTAGTAAACATTAGAATATGTTCTGAGCAATTGCACAGTAATGCTTATTCTGATCTCTAAGGTAATATGTGACATGGTATGAAACCTCATGGAGCTGGTCCAAGACAGGTGCAGTGCCAGGGTGTGAATCAACACCCAGCAAGCTGTGTGGTATTATCTCCATGGAGTGGTTGGATGATAACTGTACATGCTACTTAGTACAAGCTAAAGACATATACCTCCCCCGTAAAATCCTAACTTTGCTATCACACAATTGCACTTAGCACAGTACAGTGGCACTTAGAACATGTTTTATTGCTGAACACGTGTATACTCCTATGGCCCTGTGTGCTAGACCTGGGGCATAGGGTAGTGCAGGGCCCAATCCCAGCATGCAGGACCAGGAGGGGTAGGGGTGGGATCCTGGGGCCCTGATCCCTGTGCATGGGACAGGCAGGGTGGCATGTAACCCTGGGCTACAGTCCCAGTGTGCGGGGCTAGGTGGGGGCTGTGTAGGGCCCCACAGCCCAATCTTGGCACGCAGAGACCAGTGGGCTGGTGTGGGGCCTCAGGGCCCAATCTGGGTGTGCAATGCTGGGCAGGGGCAGTGTGAGATCCTGGGGCATGGACCCTAGCACAGAGGGCCAGGTAGGGGCAGTGTTGTCCAGATTCAGGTTGAACTGTGACCTACAGTGTGCCCCATGCCACTCAGTTGGCCTGCAGGGCCAAAAGGTTGAGAGTACCACTGGCTTTAGTATATGTGTGTGGAAGTGGCTGAGAAGCAGGAACTGATGCTATTGAACTGTTGGGGGGCATAACATGACACAACAGCCTGTAGCTGAACTGTGGCTGTACAGGAGCAGCTGAACCTGAGTTTGGGAAGGGGGCAGGTAGGATGGAATAACTCAAATAAGACAGGTGAAGCTAGCAGGCACCTGGGGTTATTTTTATCCCCACCTGGGGAAGCAAGTGTTTGTACGTACCAGTTGCAGTTCTGTTAATTGGTTGGCTCAGTGGCCCATGGTCTCGGGTGGATGTTCCACGCCAACCCTGTTCTACATGGATTTCAGGCTTGCGTGGCTGCTTCTCACTGTGCTGGCCATAGTCCTGCCTCCAGAATATCTGGAGCTATTCCCTGGGACTGCTCTCTGCTTCTTCTGCCCAGAAGACAAACAGCTGTAAACCGTGTTCACCTCCTCCACACGGCAGCCTTGGGTAGGGTGCATCCTGCCTGTCGATAAGCCCTACATGCCCAGCCCAGAGTGGGATATTTTAGCAGCCAGAAGCTGAGTCTGTCCAGCCACAGCACTGCAGCATGGGCACTGGATATTAACACTGATGATGGAGGGAGGGCTAGGGGTGGGTGGCTTCCTCTAAGATGTGCGAGTGGGGCTGAACACTGAAGGAAGGCAGGGGCTATGAGCTCTAGAGACTCAGCTGCAGCACCCAGGCTCCAAATTTGAGAGAGTTAACATGAGTCCTGGTGGCTCAGAAGGAATGGCCAGATAAAGAACTCATTTGGTGTTGTGGGACATTGAAGGGACAGTTTGGGACGCTTATGCTGTTTTCAGTTCAACTGCTCTTAGTCCCCTAGGTGCTCTCATGCCAGAGGATGCCCTCCCCACATGCCTCACCCAGTGTCCAAGACTTTTCTCAAGCAGTACCCTTTGAGATGCACTTTCTATTTACTTCCCTGCCACACACCATGCTATGTCCCCCCATGCCCTTACCCTTACAGGAGCTCCAGGGATGGTGATGGTAGTTGGGCCAAGGGAAAGGGACAGGTTCTGTAGCAGGCAAGCTGCCAACAAAGGGCTTTACACTCAAACTCAGGACTTACAGCTCTTGAGATGATGTCATTCAGTCCTGCCTGCCTGTTCAGGCTGTTTTAAGAGCTTTGCTGCTATGAGGCAAGGATCAATACCCCATCAAATTCCTAGCTCTGTACAGGAGGCCAGTCTCACCCAGGCTCATAGGAAAACACAGCTATTGCTGGCAGGCCCAGGACTTTTTTGTATATATGGATGTGGCTTTCACAGGGAGGTGCAAGGAAAAAGCAGCATAGGATCATAGACAATTAGGGGTTCCATACACATGCAGGGAGTCTGCTCCAATGTGCTGGAAATCCAGTGCGTTGCAGCAGACCTGATTAATTTCTGCACTCCAGCAGACTGAATTAATGTGCTCCAGCAGAGTCTAGCATCATGTGCTGAACGGGGTGCTTTGAACGAAAGCTTGTTTGACTAACCTTAGTTCAAAGCACCCGGCTGCCATTTTTCAGTGTGGGGACACTGACACATGTGATGCTTGGGTTCTTTTAATTAGCATGGCTCACTAATTAAAGTCCCCCCACCCCCATGCCTCCTGGAGCACGTGTAAAAATGCCCTTGGGGTTGGCAGGGACCTCAGGAGGTAGGATGGTCCAACCCTCTGCATGACTTGTGGCCCCACTGTTGAGCCATACAGATCAGATTCTGAGGCTTATGTCAGTGCAACTGGTGCCTCTGGCCCAGACCCTGATCTGGTTACTGGCCTGAGGGCCCAGGAACTGGAACACAAAAGGAGAGCATTCTGGTGGTTTTAATCAGTTTCTAATACACAGGAGAGTACAGTATACACAATACACTACACAGCCCCAGAGTTAATGTTGGAACACTAGTCCAGGGGTTGCAATAATGAATACATCTATTTGCACATCTGATTAGAGGCAGATAAGGAAGAGGCTGGGCTGTCGGAAGTTTGACACCTTCCTGGAAAATGGTCCTACTAGATCTATGACCCAGGTGCCTGATGAAAGTGCCATTGCCATCTGTACAGTTCAAATATCCCAGTTCAGGGAATGCAGGTGGTAAAATGGCAGTAGCAAGTCAACAGTCCAGCAAGTGCAAATCCAGATCAATTAAACACAGTGGGAGTAGATGAACATCTGCATGCAGTTGCAATACCACACATTGGGGATCAGACACAGGAGTGCAGACTCAAGGAATCTGACAGCATTAGGAAACTTACAAGTGAAATTACCTTGGGGTTGCTCTGGTTATTGGAAAAAGAGACTTGCAATTTTTTTAAATTCATCTTCTGACCAGAGTAAGCATGTTGTTGCCCCTGGGCAAATGGGAGGCCACCGCTCTGCATCCATATGTGTATCCATGGGTGTAGCACCGTGATTCATTAATCAAAGCATTAAGCGAACGTGTACCAGACACTGCCTGATTAGTTTCCATGGCATTGATGCAGTAACAGCCAAATGGTTTCTTCCCAACAGCTCAGGACAACCAGCCTTGGTAACCCTAGGAATGTTGTGGGGGTGCAGTGCTATAGCTAGGACCAGGGAAAAGCACGATTCAGGCAAAGGAGCCTGACATGTCAGTTGTATGTCTAGAAGATGTACGAATCCCCCCAGGGCCCTGCTCCAGGGAGCTGGGGTGTGCTGCGCAGATGGATGCTGGCTCTGGACAGGGTGACAGGCAGGAAGGTCTCTCATGCTGGCAAATTTAAAATTAGCAATTTAAAATTATGGCCACAAGGGGGTGGGGGGGAGCCTGAATGAGCAGCTGACTTTAGCCAATTAGGATCAATGTGGACTAATATAGCATAAGTCACTAAAGTTGCCTGTGCATGAGAGGGACACAAAGCCTTGGGGCTTTCAGTGTCCTGACCTAGGAGGCGGAGACCCTTCTTCTAGGCCCAGTTCATCTCCTCTGCCTTCCCCTCAGCCTCAGACAGGAAAGCTGAACACTATTGTCACTGCACGCTGCAGGGTTCAGGCTCCAGCTGTCCCCACCGTCAGCACACAAGTTATTTTTGCCTAGTGACTTGCAACTTCAAGCAAACTCTAGAGCTTCTGGAGCAGGGGAGGAAGGTGTCAGGAGGAAGGCAGTTACAAGCCAACTAACAGCCCCTCGCTCCTGTGCTGGGAAATTCAGCTGAGGACACTAGCTGCAGCTAGAGGTTCTGGCCTGGGCACATCCCACAAGCAGGCCCATCTGCCAGCACAGAAATAGGCACAATTCTGCCTCAGGATGCTCATGTGACCTTGTCCAGAGCTTAGCTGGAGCTGAGCAAGAGCCAGTCAGTTTCTCTCAGCGCCAGTGGAAAGGGCTAACCCCCATCCCTGGGCAAGGGTGTTGTTACTCCCCCACCTTGTCCAGAGCTGTAGCTGTAGCACTGACACAGCAGGCTTGGGTCTTGCAGAATGCCAGTGTCCAGAGCTGTCCCATACTAGGACAAGCCCTGCTCCGGGAGTGACTACAGGTTCCTCTGGGCAGCCAGTAGGCACTAGAGCTTTCTGGGGGAAAATGTGCTACTCTGAAGGTGAGGAAAACCCAGAAACAGCAGCTCCACCTCCTCACAGAGGGGAAACAACTGAAACGTACTGAGCAGCCTCAAGCAATGCTGGATGAGCAGACTGCAGAGCAGGGCCTGCCTTCCAGGGCCACAGCAGAGGGCACCGAGCCCAGCAGTAGTCTACTTCAGTAACCAAGCTGGCCTCCGGTCCTCATGAACACTGCTGCTCAAGACAAAAGCTGTCAACATGAAGGCTGCCTCTTCAGCTGCCTCTTGTGGTTGAATGAGGGGGTCACGCGCAGGCACTGCTCTGTACCTGGGGACCCATGTTTTTTACAAAATGCAAAGTGAGATGGTCATAACAGCACAGCTGGGAACAAGCATCCCCCTCTGCCTTTGTCCCTAGTTCGTTAGTACCTTCCCACCCCTGCAAGGGAGCAAAGCTCTGCATGTCCACACACTGGATCCCCAGAGGAGGCCAAAGAGCCGTGGCACTTGTGGCCGTGGTAGACGGCACACAGGGGCTGCTCCCTGTAGAATCCATGGGCTGCGCCTCTGCCCCCGATCAGCCAACCCCGCCAGGCTCATGACAGGTCACAGAACAGCACCTCCCTATTGAGCAGCTGGTGGCTACTCTCTGCTCAGTTGGGATCAGTCCATGGGGCCTCAGACACTTCACTGCTGGGAGCAGGGGTAGGGCTGCACTTTGCTGGAGCCTGGCACATGCCACATGCCTTTCACCACACCCCAAAACACACTGTTGGGCTAAACAACAGTGGAACAGGAGAAAGGATGCTGTTCACGGTCATGGCTATCGGTCCTCCCACAAGGCTCCTAGCTGTAATACAAAGAGAATGCCTAGCTCTTCCTCCTGGCTAGAGGGCTCTATCTCCTTTCCACCACAGCACCAAAATGAGACACCCCTTTGAGACACAAGAGAGCAGGACAGCTTCCTTGCCTGGGGAGCTGAGTCACGTGGCGTCAGAAACAGGCCGCACAGCTTAGGCAGTGCCACACCTCGGATGCTTTAGAGGGCAGGGCAGGGGACCTGCCCATTGCCTCAAAATGGCTGGGGAGGCAGGTGCGTGGCCTGGCAACGGGAGGTTTCTGCACGCATCCCAGAGGATGACACAGGAGGGAGGCTGAGGGGGAGGGGTGACTAAAGCTTCTTATTAAGCGCTTGGTCTAATGTGGGGCATAGCCACAGGGCAACCAGCTGGCTGCCACCATGTTCAGAGCAATGCACAGTGCATGCAGGTGGGTTAGCATGACATGATATCTGTGTCCATCACTGGATTCCCTTCTGTGCTTTCCATCAAGACTTTCCTCCAATTTCCCCCTGCAAGGAATCCTCCCAGCATCTCCCCCCATTCCTATGATAAAGCACCGTTCTCTATCTACGGAAAACACCATATTGGATAGATTTGAGCCTGGTGATGGGCAGTTAAATGCCTGTGATCTTATTTGTGCAAACCTGGAAACACCTGAGGCCTGAACAGCTTGCACAGGCTATTCCCTGGGGAGGTTGGGGGGTGGGATCTTCAGAGCAGAAGGCTCCACCCCCCAGATCTCCCGAGCATACTCCGTGATGGTCCTGTCACTGGAGAACTTGCCAGAAGATGCAATGTTCTTGATCACTTTCTTGGTCCACTCCCTGGGGTTCTGTGAAGGAGAGGATAGGTCAACGTGTTACACCTTGGGCCCTGGTCATCAGCACCATCCAGCACGTGGCTTATAACATCCCAACAAGGCTCTCATGGGTCCCTCCCCTTCTGTTCTGGGCTGTGAGTACCAGCTTGGCACCCTCAGCATGGCCTCCTAGGGGTGGCTCCGACTGTGGCCCACATGGATTCTCTCAGGAAACAGCTCAGAGAGCTGTGGCCAGCAGCTCTGAGCCAGTGGCTCATCAGCCATTATCTCTGAAAACCCAATTGTATTCATGGCACAATTCCAGCCTCAGCACCTAGAGGCAGAAATGGGCTCAGAAGCATGATGTTATCAGAGCAGGGACAGGAAATGGCTGTTGGAGGGATGGGGACACAGATACAGAGCCACAGGCACTAAGCCAGCCACTGATGTATGTCATATATCCAGAGCTGTTGTAAGCTCATTAAAGAGACTGAAGTTACTCTTAAATGCCCCATATTCTACTAGGCACCTGAATTACGGATATTACATGCAGTTGATAACATCCTGCCAGGATAGAGATGCTCTGGCGGCTGCCTATGAGCCAGCTCTCAAGGCCAGTCTGAAATAACCCAGAGGCAGGAGGGGGTATCCCTGAGGCTGAAGCCAGACCCCACTCACTAGCAGTGCAAGGTTAGTGAGGAGGCAGATGGGAGCCTGTGGAGACATTTCTCTGTGAAGAAATGATAATGCCAATGCTGCGATGCTGACAGAAATACTTTTGTCAGGAGGGCTGGTTCTGCCCCCTGAATTGGATGGGGCCCTGCAGAAGCAGAAACCAGGACTCTACACTTGCTGCCCTTATTTCTGAGCATGCAACTGTTTGCTCCACAACCTTACCATGTAGAGCTCATCAACCTGGCCCTGGCACTGGATGTAGGCTTCATAGTCAGCAAACACTTTAAACCTGAAACCCAAGCAGAGGAGAGAGAGTGGCTGAATTCAAGCTGCCATCTTTGCTCAGTGGCTCATGCCAACACACCACACAGAATCAGACACATGCAGGCCTGGCAGAGCCCTCAGGAGACCATCTAGTCCCACCCCTGCTTCAGCAGACCAGCCCTAATCTGAACCACGCCAGCCAAGTGTTCGCCCAACCTACTCTTAAGAACCTCCAGTGATGGGGACTCCACAGCCTCCCTAGCGAATCTGCCCCAGTGCCAAACCACCCTCCAAGTGGCAGTGTCCTTCCTAGTCCCCAACCTAAATCCCTCCTAGTTGCCATTTCAGCCGTTTCCTTTTTGTCCTGTCCCCATGGTGCAGGGATGGGACAAATGGTGTGGCAGGGCTTCCTGATAGGATGGAAAGCACTAGAGCAGTGGTTCCCAACCTTTTTTATACTGTGGACCAGCACGGGACACACGAAGCTGGCTGCCTCCCTCCCTCCCACTGCCCAGATTTAACCTCGCATGCGACTGCCAGCAGCAGAAGCTGCTCGCCCAGGTGGACAGCCAGGGGTCCAAGTGAGGAGCTCGTGCCATGACCTGGCAGCCAACCCTTTGCAGCCCAGTACTGGGTCACAGTGTGGTCTTCCGGTGGTTGGGAACCTCTGCACTAGAGTTGCCTCAGCTGTTCTCCAGTGTCAGAGGCTGACCCAGGAACCAGAGCCCGGAAGAATGATACTGCTGTTCCACCCAGCATGTGGCAAAGCCCAGTGCCTGGCTCCCATCCCTCCCACGCCTGTGGCTGGAAGGGGTCTGATCTGCCATCCCTCCCACGCCTGTGGCTGGAAGGGGGCTGATAAGCCAGCCCAGGGAAGGGACAAAGGTGTCTCCACAGCTTGCTGCCATGGGTCCTGCAGAAGCCTCATCCGTGTGTGAGGAAGAGCAGAAAGGCTCAGGAGCAGCTCATATGGCCCAGACTCCTTTGCTCAGAGAACATCCTCTGCACACCCCATAAAGATATCTCCTGCCTCTAACAGAGAGAGGCTGAAAAGGCCACACACCTTCCTCTACCACTCTGAGGTGCAGCCCTTTCCCCACCAACCAGCCTGGCTGGAAGGAGACCATTTATGCCAAGCCATGATGCAGCAAGAACTCTGGAGTTCAGGGCCCGGCTCACACCTCACCCAGCCAGGGCCCACTTGTAGGACTAGGAGCCAGGACCATGCATGATGGGGACATACAGAGCAAGTGGCCCAACCCTGGCCATCAGCAGCTCATAGGAAAAGCCAGAAAAGAGAGAGGTCCCTTTGTGGTATGTTGAGATATTGGCTGCTAACAGTGAGTGGAGTCTGCAGCACCAGAGGCCCCTAGAGGGTGCCTGACTGTATGTGGCTATTTGCTATGGCTTGGCTGTGTTGCAGCCAGAACAGAGCCACTGGGTGAGAACCCGAGCATCTCAGGGCTGCTGTGGTGTCCCCTGGGCACAGCAACCGCCCACAGCACTGGGTTGGGGTAGGAAGCCCAGAGCACGGCTGCATTTGTGGCAGTGCCACGTCTGGCCTGCACAACTTGACGGCGGACAATGGGACCAGGAAAGGGAGGAGGAAAACATTGTTAAGGTGGTGGGTGAGCCCTGCTCTCATTTCTCTGACCACATAATGCCGCTTCAGATTTCATGACCACATAATGCCATTTCCCTCAGAAGGGGAATACTGCAACAGAGGGGCAGCTAGAGGTGGATGAAAGGCCTGTGTCTCAGTCCCTCATTCAAAGCCCATGGGGCCAACAGAAGTCTTCTCTTTGGTTGCTGTGGCCTTTGGACAAGCCTTGTAATGGGAAGCAGCCGGGGGTGTGGTGGGACAGACAACGACGTAGGGGATCCCTCAAAAGCAGAAGGGATGAGTGTGCTACCACTTACCTGTCATGGTACATCAGCATGTCGACAACATCGCAGAAGCAGCCAGGGTCCCGAGGCGAGAAGAACCCACTGCTGATCTGGTCAATGGCCTGCCTCAGCTCAGGGAGGCGATCATAGTATTTCTTCGCGTTGTACCTATGCAGGATGACATGGCCTCATGCTGCAGCCCACAGGACAACCCCTGTGCCAGGGCCCAGCCTGCACAGCTCAGTCAGCAAAGGGCATGCAGGAAAGATCACCCCCACCTCCCCACCAGGTTAACGTAGCTCTGCTGGGAACCCCTCTGGTGTACGCACAGCCCTGACCAAGGGGCTTTCATCATCTGGGGAGCAGGGAAAACTACTATGCCTGCTGCTGTACTCAGTATCTCCACTAGATAGATCTATCTCCACTACAAGCCACAAAACTGAACATGAAATATCGTGGAGACAAAAGTCTGTATCAGGACATCCAAGAAGAGCACAGACCAACTGCATAGGCTTCCTCAGCCTGATGAAGGGTATTTGTACCTGAAAGCTTGCAAAGAAGAATTTTTCCAACTATCTGAGTTGGTCTAATAAAATATATCAGATTTACCCAAAGAACCTTGTCTGCCTATGTCCTTAGACCAACATGGCTACAACCTATACTCCTGTATCAGGACAGGAGCTTTTGGGGGCATATCCCACAAAGGCAGTTGAGTGCCCCACCCCTGGGCTACAGTGGGAGTGGGGCCCTGAACAGCCCCTGTGCATCTGGGCCAAAATCCTTTCCTTGGCTGACTGGGCTTTGCTTTGCAAGACAAAGGCCTGGAGTAACATTTTCCTCAGCCCCTATGTGACTGAGGGGCCCCCAGCTCATTCTCAAAGGCAACTATCCCGATGTCATAGGGATAATGGAGACCTGGTGGGACTCCACCCGTGACTGGACCACAGGGACAGATGGCTATACCCTGTACAGGAGGGATCGTGTAGAGAAAAGGGGCGGGGGTGTAGCTCTCTATGTTAAGGAAAGCTACATGTCCCTGCAAGCCGCATTAGGTGCCTCTGCTGGCCTGGCCATGTCAGCCTGACGTCTCACCTCTGCATGCTGCTAACAAACATAGCTAAACCAGTAAAAGTTTGTAGTGAAGATGTGGCCTTCCTCATATCAGGCAGTACTTTACACCATAAGGTAGCTCTAATTCAAGGTAATTTATGTTAAAATAGATATACTGTATTCACATACTCACAGAAAATTATTCATAGGATTTTTTTCTGATCATTTAGACCTTCCTCTGTGGCTTCCTTTAGATCTTTGGATCATCTTGTCCTGATTGAAATTCCATAGCTTAAAGGACAGCATATCCCCTTTTGGTCCATAATAAAATTCAGACCATCCACAGAACAACATAGTACAAACAAGGGGATTCACTGAGGAAGCATGTTATTTCTTTTCAGAAGGTTGCCTTCTCATCCTGGCACACACAGACAGGGTGGGGAGGGAGTGGGAGAAGAGCACCTTTCTAAGGCCTGCTTGGGAGAATAAAGTTCAGTTGGAACAGATGTGCAGCAAATGAACAGTAATGTGTGAGAGAGACATCTCTAGTATGACTGCAGGAGCCTTGCAGTGGTACTTTTGGAGATGCACAAGCCTGCTCCTTTTTAATATTAATTATCTGTGCACTACTGGGGAAAAAACAGGTGTACAGTACATACCATACCAAGACTTGTACTGCTGGAAATGAAACCCAGTAAATTTAGGCAGCACAGAGGATTGCTTTCCTCCCATTCAGTAGAGTGTTTGAGTTACTTTATCTGAGGTGACACCACTCTTCTGGAATAAGATGGAAGTCAGAGGTCATTGATAATAAAGATTGTTATTATTTTTAATCTTCTGGCAGATGTATTGTTATATTAAATATCCACTGTAATTGGAATTCTCAAGATGTGAAAGGCTGGCCTTGAATTATTCCTAATTATTGGAATGGAAGGTTGTGCCATATACAAACTGAAAGGTAATTTCCCCTAGATTTGCAATAGTGTTTCAGAGTTAATTCATTGCTTTGTCATGCAGATAATGCCTATGCAAACAAATGCACACTTTTTCTTTTATGTTCATTAGAACTGCATTAATTTAGAATGCAGTGGAGTACTAGAACAACACAGAGCATTACAGTTCAGATATAGAAATGCCTAGAGACACAGTAAGGTCCTAGTTCAAGCAAAGTACTTAAACATGTGCTTAATTTTAAGCATATTCTTAACTTGTTTGACATTGGTGGTACTTAGCCACTTACTTAAGTGCTTTGCCAAATCAGGACAATAACATGTTCCTAATGCTTTAATTAGTATTCTGTGTGCTATGTCTGTCTTGTGTTGGGTTATAAATCTAATTCGGCCCCTTTGTGCATATACATTCTTTAATTATATGATCACATGCTATTTTATTTTGTACAGTACCTCAGTGCATGAGATGGATTGTGCTTAATTAATGAGCATAGATTTGTTTTCTCTTTAGTATTCTATGTGTGGTCCCAAGACTTATTTATTTTACAGTATCTAAACCCTAAAGGTAAAGTCATTAGGTTGGACCCAGAGGGTAGTAATCGATGGAAGTCACTCATCGTGGTGTCCTGTGACCAGTGGGGTCCCCCAAGGCTCTGTCCTTGGACCCATACTGTTCAACATCTTCATTAATGATGTGGACACTGGAGTCAGAAGCGGACTGGCCAAGTTCGCCGATGACACCAAACTTTGGGGCAAAGCATCCACACCAGAAGACAGGCAGGTTATCCAGGCTGACCTGGACAGGCTCAGCAAGTGGGCGGATGAGAATCTGATGGTGTTCAACGCCGATAAATGCAAGGTTCTCCACCTTGGGAAAAAAAATCCGCAGCATCGTTATAGGCTCAGCAGTGCTATGTTGGCTAGCACTATGGAAGAAAGAGACTTGGGGGTCATCATTGACCACAAGATGAACATGAGCCTGCAATGCGATGCGGCGGCTAGTAAAGCGACCAAAACGCTGGCTTTCATCCATAGATGCTTCTCAAGCAAATCCCGGGACGTCATTCTCCCCTTGTACTCGGCCTTAGTGAGGCCGCAGCTGGAGTACTGTGTCCAGTTTTGGGCTCCACAATTCAAAAAGGATGTGGAGAAGCTTGAGAGAGTCCAGAGAAGAGCCACGCGCATGATCAGAGGTCAGGGAAGCAGACCCTACGATGACAGGCTGAGAGCCCTGGGGCTCTTTAGCCTGAAAAAGCGCAGGCTCAGGGGTGATCTGATGGCCACCTACAAGTTTATCAGGGGTGACCACCAGCATCTGGGGAAACGTTTGTTCACCAGAGCGCCCCTAGGGATGACAAGGTCACAAACTACTACAAGACCGTTTCAGGCTGGACATAAGGAAGAATTTCTTTACTGTCCGAGCCCCCAAGGTCTGGAACAGCCTGCCACCGGAGGTGGTTCAAGCGCCTACATTGAACACCTTCAAGATGAAACTGGATGCTTATCTTGCTGGGATCCTATGACCCCAGCTGACTTCCTGCCCTTTGGGCGGGGGGCTGGACTCGATGATCTTCCGAGGTCCCTTCCAGCCCTGATGTCTATGAAATCTATGAAACTTCAGCCAGGTCCACCTGGCAGCATTTGTTGTAGGCACAGTCTGGGGAGTGGGCAAGGGGGTCTGTTTTAACAGCCTTTTGTACACATGACAAACCTCTTCCGAGGACCCTGCCCCACCCACTCATGAATGCTGCTGTCTGAGGGAGCTGACGGCAGCCTGGAGCTAGAGTGAGCCATTCTGGCCAAAACACCTTTGTGCTGACATAAGCTTGAGCTGCTTGTGGCCCCTGGGTTCTCAGCCAGGGATACGCAGAAGCCCTAGCTCTGCCAGCAGCCCTATGCTTTCACCGTCCTGGCCTCTTCAGATGGGGGTGAACAGAGCTGTGCCCATGCCAGGAGTGTCACTCATGCAGCCCAGTGCCCAGCCCAGGCCAGCATCTCAGACTGCCACAGCCTATAGTGCCCTGGGCCCAATATAGCAATACTAACCCTTGCTGGTCCATTGCCTCCACATCCTCCACTCGCATGCCGAAGATGAAGAGGTTCTCCTCACCAGCCTCCTCTGCCATCTCCACGTTGGCGCCATCCATGGTGCCGATGGTGAGGGCACCATTCAGCATGAACTTCATGTTCCCAGTACCCGAGGCCTCTGTCCCAGCTGTAGAGATCTGCTGCGACAGGTCGGCTGCAGGGATCACTGCAACGGGGAAGACAGAGGAAGGAGCTTGTGATTGGGAGGTGGCTGAGGAGCAGGCTTGAGCTCAAGATATCAGCTCGGTAGAGAGCAGGCCCAGGACAGGGGATGATGAAGGCTGCCTTGATGTCCCTGTCCTACAACTGCACTCTGTGCTACATGTCCACAGCTGAGACACGGAGCCATCAACCCACATCTGAAGGGGGTGACCCTCTCCCTAGAGACCACCTGACAGCTAGGAAGGGCTGCTCCACCATAAGACTGCCACCAGGAGCCAAAGCCAGGCAGGTGCCACCCTATACCCGTCCTTGGCTCAGTCAGGTCTTGGCGACCCTTATTCTCCCAGGGGTGCTAGAGAAGGGGGGTCTGAACTGGTTGGGCCCAGGTAGAGGTTTGTGCAACAGGGAAATAAGGCTAACAATGAGCATCAAATATGCTCTGGGACAGTAAAAAATGAGGCAGCAGTATCCACTGGTGGCACCCAGAGGACCCCAACCAAGGCCACCTCTGAGGAACAAAGGAACAGGGTCCTGGCTGCCTGACAGAGACAGAAGTAAAAGAGGGACTACCCTCTGGGGGCAGAAGGGGGCCTGGGACTTTCAAAGGCCTTCCAGGCCCTGAGAGATCCCCTCTATTCATGGAATACACCAGCGATAAGAGATTGGTTTCAATTGTGGGCCCAGCTCATGGCATCGCAGCTCCTTTAATCCTGGAGTTCCTCCCATGCGGCCCCCTGCTGCTGCTGTTTGGTGGAGGGGCCCATCAGTCCTGCCACTTGCTCCTGATGGCCAGGAGGCAAAAACTGTGGTTTTAAATATGCTGCAGTTTTGGCCTCCCGCTGCTTGCTACTGACCAGACAGGAAGCAAAAACTGTGGCATATTTAAAACTGTAGTTTTCACCTCCTGGCCATCAGGAGCAAGCAGCGAGCAGCAGGGTCAATGAGTCCCTCCACCAATCAGTGGTGGTGGGGTGCAAGATGGGTACTCCAAAATTAAAGCAGCTGCCACACCAAGAACTGAGCCTGAAATTTAAAACAGGCCCTAATGATGATGCACAGCTGGAGGTCCTGAACACTTGCCCCTCACTCAGCCCTATCGCCCAGCACATGGAGTCTGTATTCCTCTTACCCTGACCCCTGCTGTCCACACAGCTTCGCTCACCAAGCTGAAAGGGAACTGAGCTCCCCACCCTGCCCTCCAACTCTGGATGGTGACCATCACATCCCACCATAAAGGGCCCCTCCTTGCCTTGCTACCTCACCTTTCTCAGCAAAGGACACCCTGTAGTTCTCCAGGAAGATTACTTTGAGCCGGTCTCCCACGTAAGGGTCATTATTGACAACCTCCCCAATGGATGTGATCAGTTTGATGATCATCTTAGCCATGTGGTAGCCAGGAGCTGCCTGCAGGGGAGGGGGGTGGGTTAATAAAGAAACGAGAAGAAAAAAATGATGTCTTCATGAGTCCAATCAGATCAGCCAAATTGCCCACTTGGATGCCTGTGCTGCTTGCTTTGCCTGAAGCAAAGACAGGCCACAGACCTACACATGGCACAACATCAAACTTGTTTAAAAATAGACATGCAAAGGCCTTGGTCAGTGGAGAAGGCCACAATGATGCATGCTATGAATCCCCTCCATGGGGCTGCCTCTGCACAGAAGCTGCCATCTCTTCCCACTATGGGGAACAAGCACTGCCCAGGATGACAAACTGCAGAACAGGAACAGCAGAATGACTCTCCCAGATCCAGCTTCTGCTCTGGCTCCCGGGGCGAGAGGGGACGGGGCTGGGAGACAGCCACCTTATCAATCTCAGTGGCAGCAGCCTGATGCAAATGTCACTGAGGGGAAGAGGGGAAGCTTTGCTTCATGCCTGCTGGAGCAGAGGGAAGGAACTCTGGAGCAGGCCCCATGCCCTGGGGACAAATGTTTGAATAATAAGGAGACTGCGCATCCCCAGACCAAGCTGTTCCCCCATAAAAGGTGACTTGAGGTTGGCAGCAATCCCGCCAGCCCTCCTTCACAATGATGGTCTACCTGAAGTACCTAGACAGCATCAAGAACTGGAGGCTGCTGGGTGTAGATACACCCTGACTAGGCTGTCATTGTACACTAGGAGCCCAGAGCCCAAGACCCAGCCCGCTCTTCACCTGCACTGACAAGGTCCCCCAAACACAGGGCAGCACCTGGGCTCAGGACAGCAGTCTCAAGCTATAAGGGCACGTGTTACCTTTCCGCCAATCATGATAGTCCTCGGCACAAAGGATTTGGTCGGGTTGCATCTAATACCTGCAAGATGAGGAAGGAAACAGTAGTAGTAAATGAGGAGGCTGTGAAGAGTCACAGATGGCATCACTGCTAGTATGGCATGGGGTGTGGGGAGGGCGTGCCCACCAGACCCAGACCCCATGGTGCTAGCGCTGTACAGGCTAAGCACAGAGACAGCCCCTGCCTCAAGGAGCATGCAATCTAAACCACCACCCAGAGGTGCCTCTCCACATGCCAGAGCTGTATCTGCTTGTACAATTTATAGAATAGCAGCCCTAACCCCCACCCCAGTCAAGAGCACTTGAAGACCAGGAGCATTTCCAAACTAAAATACTTTAACCTGGGACATCCCACTCCCAACAGAGGTCCAGCCCTTGTGTTTCTGCTGCATATCACCCATGTGGCACCTCAACAATTCCAACATCCTCATGGCCTGAGAGCAAGCAGGGAGGTGCCCTGCAGATGTGCTGAGGGATAAGAGAAAGAAGACAGACCCAGAAAGCTCTATTCTCCCCACAGGCCCACTATGAGGAGAATGGATTTAAACAAGTTGGGTATAAGGAAACCAACCCAGCTTTTGGTCTGGTCCTTTTTTCCCTTCTTAGGCCAGTCAGTTTAGGATGCAACGCTCAGATGTGGAGTCTGAGTTGGCAGGGCCCTGGATGCAATACCCAGGGAGCTCCTTCTCCATCCCCTGCTCTGCTCCCCAGAGTCATAATGCTAAATGGAGCTACCTCTGGGGACCGGTGTACCTGGGAAATGCCCTGCCCTTGAAGAGGGAATCAGTGCTGCTGGAAACAAATGTCTGTTGCTGTCTAAATGCTGCTTGACTGTATGCCTGGACAGGGGAGCAGAAAGCAGCTGCACCCCCACCCCCTGCCTGTTGTCTCTGTAGTCAGACTCTGCAAGGGGAAAGACAGGACAGTTTCCTTGGGCTGCCATGGTGAAGGGGAGGGCAGGGGAGGAAGGCAGGGAGTGAGCATTATGTTGGCTCCACCCCATCCCCAGCACATCAGCCAGGGCAGAGAACCCAAGGTCCAGCTGCCAGCTTCTATAGGGTCTAGGAAGAGGACATTTATGCCGACATAATTTACATGAGTCCTGTGCACCATTGTGAGTTAAACTCCAGAAAAGACGGACAAACAGAGTGTTCCAGAGTAGCAGACTCTGGGCTTATAACTATGCCTTGCCACTGGGGAGCAGGGGAGCTGCCAATTTGCTGTTTGTATTGAGCTAATTGTTATACTTGAGTAAGTTGCAGACATGTGACCTCTGTCTTGGTATAGCCTACACCTGCGTGGTGTTACCCTATTCTTTCATGGGCAATTCCACACCAGAAGTGATCCCAGGAAAGGGCCTTATGGCATCTGTACACTCCCTGTGTACACCAGTGTAAAGGGTCAGCCACATCAGCACAAACACATTATCTATCCAGGTGACAGCCCTGCTGCTCTGGTCTATAAAGGCTCATCCTGAAGGCATCTCATGAACTATCTGGTGAGGGCCAAACAACAGTACTGACATATACACACACAATATTTGCTGTCCTCCTCTTCCCACAGGCAGAAACAGGTGCAGAGGCCTGGCTTCATTTGCAAGGGGTTACAGGTGGTTTTCATACATGTACTGTCCTGGGTTTATGTCAGGGAGACAGGGTGGCAGAAGGGGCCTGGCACCAGGTGTAGAAGACGATTCGATCTGTGATCCTGGGAGTTCTCGAATGCACACTTGAGATAGCTCTGTGTCCTACGTGGATGAGTGATGCCCTTACAGTAGGAAATCCCATCATGCTGGAAGAGCCCTGGGTTGGCTACAGTCTTCATTCTGGAGCTTCAGTTGACCCAGGGCCTGGAACACCTTGCTGACAGGACCAAGGCCTCAAATCTGACTACCTGCTGCCCCTTCTTGAGCCATGGAGCCAAGTGCCTGCCCAGCCCCTAGAGACACCAACCACATAGCAATACTCTCCATAGCTACTGTGGCCAAAGGACTTTGCTAGACTGAACCCAATCACCCCATTACCGTGTGACTGGAGAAGGAAAACTGGCAATTTGTGTAGTGACAGGGCTCTCAGCTTCCCAATGAGCCCAGCTGCCCACCCCTAGGGAGCGGTGGAGAATCAGCACTCACGGTTGTAGAGGGTGATAGCATGCAGACAGTTGAGCAGCTGCCGCTTGTACTCATGAATCCTCTTCACCTGCACGTCAAACATGGAGGAGGGGTTGATTTTCACCTTGTACTGCTCTTCCAACTGGGCTGAGAACTTGAGCTTGTTTTCCTGAAAAAGGAAAGGGAAGCATTTCCTGGTTTTTGGCTTGCCACTGGTGCTCAGTGCAAGGTAGGGTTCACCACAAACTTTCTAACCAGCTGCACAGATGGCTTCTACTGAACATCTGAGACTACAGCTAACACTGTGCACCAGATGGGACATTCACAAGGAAACAATCCTTTACAATGAGGCATTAAAACAAATCCAAGCACTTTGGGAAGGCTCTAAACCTTCATGCTTCAGGGCACAGACTGCAGCTGATAGGGATCAAGAGGAAACATTCTCCAAGAGCCTTTCATCCCATCACTGCTGAGGTTTCTTGTTCCACTCCCTTCTGCCTCCACAGCTGGCCACTGTCTGTGACAGGCAGTGTAGTTAGGTTTCTGACCTAGTCCAACCTGGCTGGGCCATTCCTATGTGCCTGGCCAGTCAGCCACAGAGAAGAGGGGCCAGAGGAAAGAGCTCCCTCAATTGGCTGAGGAAGAGAAACCACAAGGAATTGAAAGGGAGGAGAAAGAGGCAGAAAGAGAAGACGCAGGAAAAGTAGAGGACAGAAAGCAGTAAAGAGGAGGGAAGGCCAAAATGCACAGGGAGGGAAGGCAAGCACAGAACTGGAGAGGCTACAAAACAAAACTGGGAGGGACCTGGAATCAGAGAAAAAGGGAAGGAGGTATAGGGTGACAGGAATGGAGGCGTGTCCACTAACCCAACAGAAAACCTGGCCAGATATCCAGGGAGAGCCCCAACCAGCCTAGCTTGTCACTGTCAAAAATGTTAGGGTCAAAGCTGGTCGGGAATTTGTCAACCCTGCTTTTCCAGAAAAACACATGGTGGCTACAAAAACTGACATGTTTTGCAGGAAAGGATCAATGGGTCAGATATGACTCTTAAGGTGGAGGAGGAAGAAAAAAAATCAGAGTCATTTTGTTCTGGTTCCACATTCAGTGGAGCTGGCCCAGGCAAATGCAGTGCTTCAGCAGG